CTGTCAACTGGGGGCAATTGGCCTTTTTTTGGCCCCTCTGGTTGCAGTGGAAACACAGCAACTCGGATATCTGAACAGTAGGTGCAGGGGCAGTACAATCCCTGCTGAAGTGCCCTGTCTTGCCGCACTTGTAGCAGCCCGACGATCCCAACCTACAAGCTCCCTCATGTGCCTTCCGCATTTCCTGCATGGCCCTGTCCCGACTGGCCTTTCGGCCTCGTGTCTGATCCCTTGGGCTTCTTCCCCGAAGCCCCAGTCACCTGTCCCTCCTCGGCCTTCCTCTTACGGATGTGCTCCAAATCAATCTCTCTCTCCCTTGCCCTGTCAATCATGGACTCCAGGGTGGGACAAGCTGAAAAGCTGACATGCTCCCGAATATCGGCTCACAACATGTCGTGATAGCGGGTCCTCCTTATATCCTCGTCTCCCGCATACTGGGGCACCAATAAAGCCCTCTCTCAGAACTTGGCGGTGATCTCCGCCACAGTCTCAGTCGTTTGTCTCATATCCAGGAACTCCCGGGCCAACTGCTGAAGCTCCACCGCAGGTGCGAACTCAGCCCTGAACCGGGTCACAAAATCCGGCCATGTCATAGCCTCAATAGCCGAGGCTCCCAAAGAGTCACCAACCGACTCCCACCAATCCCTGGCCCTGTCCCTCAAGCATTCTGTTGCATATCATACCTTCGACCCCTCGGGGTAGAAGCTGGTCAACTGTGCAGACTCAATGTCTGCAATCCACCGTCTGGCAACAATGGGATCCTTCGCCCCATGGAAATCCGACGCACCACTGCCCCTGAAGTCCTTAAAGAACAGTGTGTGTGATCCTGACTGGCCGGTTGCCATGTCACTCCTGAACGCCCTGAGGCGATCCTCCATCAGCTCTACTATCCCTTCCTTGATCGACCCAAAGATAACCGAGGTCGCATCAAGGATGCCTCTAGTAATCTCTGACGCGATAAACTCGCGTAGCCTCTCGTCCACTGGTTTGGAACCCGAACCCGAACCTGATCCCCTCCTGAACTGCCAACTGTTGGTCTAGGGCGTAGTACCACCATTCTGTAACACATAATGAAATCGTCAGAAACATGATATATCTAGAGGGATCACATCTACCACAAGTTCCCTGGTCTGTCTCAGCCTTCCTTGGACTTAAGTACGGATCCCATGCTTTCAGTAGTACGGGGCCCATACTACTTCCACATCTATCCGTACTTTCCTCAATAACTGCTCGACTCACCAAGTCCCTTCTACTGCTACTGATCTCTGCTACTCTTTTCCTAGGCTTGCCCTAAGGTAATCACCAACCCACTCTCCGCCATCAGCTGCGTAAGAAGTCCCTGCTTTCTTCCCCTAACTAGCTCGCGAATACTATTACATATCACTCAGACTAGATAATTCTTCGAATGAGAGATCCTACCCTACAACGGTTAGACTCAGACAAGAGCTGCGAAATAGAGCTAGACCTAACCTTCTGAAATTATTTAGTCCTTGCAATATATACTAACATATTTGTTTACTAGCTAGTGAAAGACAACTAGAACTCCTAAAAGCACCAAAGCAAGCAGCATTCGGACATCGAGTGCACATAGCAAGCATATACTACTCAGGCTATCCTCCTGACCAATCTGTACTAGCATGCAATTTTCATTAAAGCTGAAACACATATAGCAGGCACAGAAGCATCCTCCTAGATCCTTAGCCTAATCTAGCATGTTGTTCTACTAAAACCTGATAATCATAACATAACTTGTATGGTAATTTGGGGAAAACTTACTTGAGGCTCGGTCGGGTCGCGACCATCACACACCGTTGTTCTTTCTCCAAAACTCTGTAACTTAGATTTAGAACCATTTTCTTCGTAAAAATCTTTAATCCTCGGTTTGAGTCAGACACTCCGAGGGTGTGTCAGAATCCCTCAAACCAGGGTCTTATACCACTTGTAACATTCCCAAATTCGAGGTCCCACATTTTTCAATTTTGATATAACGATTTAGAAAACATTTATCATAAAACATCACCATGTCATACATATTTCATAAAACATAATCTCATGTCTGAAAATCATATCATAAAAGTAGTGACAATTTCAGAGTACAATCCCAAGAAATCTCATAAGGCGGAATCCAATGTGTGTATGATGTGCAGCTACCGCGTCGGCTCCTTCCCCTTCGCGCTGAAGAGGTACCTGAAACAAAACTGGAAAAAACTGTAAGCACGAAGCTTAATGAGTTCCCCCATCCTACCACATACCATACAATCATATAGCATACATACCGCCGGGCGATTATAGGGTACCCGACCTACCCGGTACGGCCGTTCTGGGGTGCCGACCTACCCGGTACGGCCATTCTGGGGTGCTGATCTACCCGTGTCAAGCCATTTTTGGGTGTTGACCTACCCGTGTCGAGCCATTCTGGGGTGCTGGACCTACCCATTGGTCCTAACAACCCTTCCTCGGGGACTATTCCCACCCCCTACTACTACTATCACATATATCAGAATATAAACAACTACAGACATATCTGGGGTGTGAACTACCCTTCGGTCCTAACAACCGAACTTGGGGGCTATCCCCTCCTACTACCACTATCGCATATAACATATCATGCCAGCATATAAGCAATCACAACATACTGTCAGACATATCTGGGGTGTCCGACCTACCTTCGGTCCTAACAACCGAACTCTACTAAATCACATATAACATATCATGCCGCATATAACATATCAGGTAGTAGCAAACCTGGATGATATCACAGAGACTATCATTCAACATACAACTCCTACTGGTGGGTCGGCATTGTGGCCGTAGACCCACCGCTACTGGAAGGTAACTCACCTCGTAAGGGACTGCTGAAAAGCTGATCGACAGGTGTCTGACTGCTGCTCGGTGATCCTCGGCTATAAATCCATTTAAACACACTTAATCAGACACTGATAACCACTTTAGGGTAAAATGACTATTTTACCCCTGACCAAGTCAAAGTCAAGTCAAACTTCCAGTGACCCGGCTCGCCGAGGTGGACCGCCAACTCGTGAGTCCCTATCCTTTCTTATGTCCTTCTTCACGCCTTACTCGTCGAGTTTGGCAACGACTCGCGAGTTCTCCTTCTAAAACAACCTCGAATGAACCTTCATCCGACTCGCCGAGTTGTATAAACAACTCGTCGAGTTCATCTCCATCCTATGAACAAGTCCTGCCCTTGACTCGCCGAGTTGTATGAACAACTCGTCGAGTTCATCTTCGAAAGTTAGGAGATTGCCTTGGACTCGCCGAGTCTGCTCATGCACTCGTCGAGTCCTATGAACTCCAGGTCTATGGCTAAGTACAACACGTTGGGCCACTCCCTTGGACCCATTAAAAACCTTTCTAACACTCACTGGGTTTCTTTGAACCTTAACAGAAAAGGGAGTCAAGCCTCGGACTCGCCGAGTCCCAAGAACGACTCGCCGGGTCGAGGTTGTCCAAGTCTCATTTCTCGCTGATGTACAACCACTGTCCAAAATGATAGATCTCGGCTCCTAAGATCGATCTTAGCGCGTAAAGTTACGAACTTTACGTGCATGCATGAGGACTATGAGCTAAAACAAAACCCTAAAAGAAGCTCTTGAGTCGCATGGGGCTTTCCTTGGGGCAAAGGCAGTCCCTTTCTGCCTTCTAACCCGTAAGGAGCCTGGATCTGAAGCCTCAACCCCCAAACCATGCTTGCAATCATGGTTGGTCACCAAAAATGGCTTATGAAAAGCCCTAAATCTCCCCAAAAAGGGATCTAATGCAAGAAGGAGCAAGGTGTCGACTTTATACCTTCCAAGAACTGTAGATGTGCACAAGTTGATTCCTCTGGCCAACCTCTTGGTTCCTCAAGCTTTTCCCTTCCTTCTTGCCACCACAAGCTACCAAGAATCACCCAAAAGGCCTTTAGATCTTCACAACACGATAGGGCTCTGTATGGAGTGTTCTAGGAGCATAAAGGGGCGATGGAGGTTGTATTAAGGTTGTTTTAAATAGGGTGCAAACCCTCAGATTAGGGTTTTGCCCAGCCATAGTCTACCGTCGAGTCTTGCCGCCGACTCGACGAGTCCGTCACTTAACCCCGGGTCCAAACCGTATACTCGACGAGTGGGGCATCAACTCACGAGTCTCAATCCAAATTGCGAAAAAATACCAGAATGAAATACATACCAGGAACCGGGTGCTACATTGCAATCCCTTAAACTTAATGAAATTGAATGGAATGTTTATGTGTTAGAAAAATTGTTAAAATCGTGATCCTGATCGCTAAGTAAATTGGTCACAATCATACGTGGATCATTTTTAGTAATATCAGATCGTAAGATTGTTACTATTAATTTGTCGTTATAAGATTCTACTATTTTATATTAGACTACCTAGTTGAATCAAATCTGACTAAGTGAATCGAATAACGAACCCTGTTAGACTACCTAGGTGAATCAAATTAGACCAACTAAGTGAATCGAATGATGAATATGAACCTTGTTAGACTACCTAGGTGAATCAAATTAGACTAAGTAAATGGATTGACGAATATGAACCCTAAAAAACCTCTTTTGAAATGTTTATTGTTAACTGATGTATTAGAGATATATTTTTAATGTTTATTGTTAACTGAATGGTTATTTGATATATGGAAATATATTTTTATGTTTTAAACTGCTTTTGAAATGATCTTTACAAACAATCTTGCAAAGAAGAAAGCAACACTATATAAAATTCCGATCTTGATCTTGATAAGATTGCTCTTAAGGACTTTATTTCATTGGAGGGAGATGGCCTAAACTCTTTTTAAGTACCGAAGAATCAAAGCCTTTAACCATTACGAAGTTGTTAATTTAAGCATCAATCGGGATAAATCATATCATCAATTAAAATCTTATCATCATGATTCATGAGTCCCACCTCTAAAACAATAAGTAATGACACCACCAGAAATCCAAAATCTTGTAACACAAATTATAAAAACTTTCTTTATTCAGAAAGTGTCTCTCTTCATAATAACGTTACAAATTACAAAAAATATTCGAAGGCAGCAGCCATCATATCATAACTTGACAGCTTACAACACTTCCTCATGTTTTGGTTATTTAACAAGAAAACCAAAATAATCAACAACTGTATTTTTCTTTCTTTATTCTTTCTTCCAAAATTTGCTCCACATGCAAAAATTACGCATGCAAATAATCATATCGATTATAAAAAGACCAAAAAGCCCCTACTAATTAAGCCACAGCCGACCTTTTAACCTCATAGTCTTCAAGGTTAAGAGCTTCAAGCAACTTTGGCCATGATTCTGGAATCCCTCCAGGCAGATCAAACTCCATTATCTTCCCTTGTTCCCTGTAGAAATCCTCAACAGGTTGACTCTGCACAACATTACAAAATCATCATCATCATCATCATGGTTTCATAATTGTTCAAGATCCTAAAAGGGTATTTTAGACATTTGTCAAACAATCATTCCACCTAAAAATGTTACAATACCTTTTCATGATAGACACGAAGTCGCTCTTTGACAACTTCTTCAGTGTCATCAGCACGAGTGATGAGCTTGGTGGAACAGTGTGAAGGTGGAAGAAGTGGGGCCATGCTCATTGCAGGTCTTCCATTTTCTGCTTTTGCATTAATGGAAGCCACATTGAAACCTTTTCCACATTGGCTGCATATCCTTCTTCCAAGACATTTCTCAACCAACACATCTTCCCTCAGTTTCAGATTCACCACCAAATCAATTTCTGTCACCTCGTCTAGAATTTCCTGAAAAAACAAACGATTCTTTAGGGAACTATTACAAAAACATCGAATGAGATTAAATGGTTTGAATTTGGTTAATGGAAGTTACTTACAGCTTGTCTTATGGTTCGAGGAAAACCATCAAGAATGAATCCTGATTCGCCTTTTGATTCTCCAGCTTCTAGTCTTTTTGATAACAAGTTGAAGATAATTTCATCAGAAACTAACTTCCCTTGGTTCACTATCTCAGCTAGCTGAAAAGCATAAGAAGAAGAATGTGAAGTTTGCATCAATGTAAAGTTTACAAGATCCCGCTTCCGCATGTCGCTAATAGAACAACTACGAATTCATGTGCATGGAATAGCGAGCAAATCGAAAGACATTGACAGCTTAATTAGGGAAAAAATTTGGGCGTAAGCGTTAGGATCTTGTTAATTACATAAGCTCGATTAATAATCATATTAAGTCTAAGGAAAGCACACGTAACAGAATGATATATTATCTAACTGTCGAGAAAGAGGACCGGAAGAAGATAACTCTTCACGAACGAGATCTCCGGTGGCGATGTGAGGGACACCGAGAAGAGTCGAGAGGCGACTAGCATAAGTTCCTTTTCCGACACCGGGACAGCCGAGAAACACCCATTGGAAGTTTCTAGAACCCTTGGGATCTGAGAAATTAGGGCGCTGGTTGTCTTGAGATTCAATATCGGAAACCACGGCAGTGGTGGTGGAGGAAAGTGATCTCCTGAATAGAAAAGGGATTGAGGAAGATGATGATGATTTCAGGAGGCGGGTGAGGGCCGCCATGGGTGGATTTGACGGCTGAATTACAGAGCGAAAGGGGAAGCGGAGAAGAAGAAAAGAGCAAGCAACGACCTATTTGGCGTTGAAGGAGAAATGGGGATCCCCAATTCAGAGGTATTTTGGGTTATTGCATCGCATATTCCTAGGTTTACTAATAATAAAAATAAAAATAAAAAATGTACTTAAATTACATGTTTAGTCGTGTAACTTTGGTGAATACAACACATTTGGTACAAAGTTGGGAGATTGTTGCAGTAACGGTCCTTATTTCAAACTACCTCAATGTAAAATTAATAGGTTTGGGCCCCCTCTTTTCACTCCGTTAACATCTACCGTTAAGACCTCTTCATGTGCAAGTCACATGGGGGTAGTTACGTTATTTGGCTCGTTTGTTTTTTGGTAAAAAGTTTTTTTGGGCACTTATATCTGCGAGCAGGTGGATGTTTACCAAAAAGACTGCTTGTTTTCTGGAAGACAAAAGAACTCAAAAAGACTTCTTTATCACTTCTTGTATGAAGGCATAGAAAAATACTTTTGGTCCACATCTTCTGCCACAGACACGGAAAAAGACTAAATATATTTTACCACTTCCAAAACAAACACCACCTTAGTCTCTTGGTCTTCCAGTCTGGTAATTTAAGGAGAATGAGAAGTGGGTTTAGCCTTATTTTTCAAACTTGATCGAATGTAACTTTCTCTCGTTTGAAAATGACGTTTTGTGCATATAGAAGAACAGTTGCAATATAAACATCATAGACATCCAACAACCATGGACAAATTTTCTACTCATACTCCAAAGTGTTAATGCTTACAGTTTGTTTGTTGCGTTAGTTGATAACTTCAAAATGATTGTTGGCTTAAATGTATAGTAGTGAATGTGGATTGATGACATATGTGTTTAATGGAAATGGATGTCATCCCAAGATTGTTGTGGTTCATGAAAGCCCTATAAGCTAACAAGTTTCTTGTTGTACAAAATCAAGTGTTAGGTGTTTTATAAAGACTATTAAGGTGGATGTTATTATCTTCGTGATGGCGATAAAGATGTAATATTATGTCATGTTAATGGTTTTTGGCATTGTAGAAGATGAAAAAGTGTGGTTAGTTCATGTTTATTTTGAAATTTTGAATCGAAGCTTACAACCATTGATCGGTGTAAAAAGAAATTAAAGACACAGGTCATTCCGTGTAGCTTTTAGCAGTCAAGAATCTATGATCTTCATGTTGTTTTTATTATTCATATATTGTCTTTTAATTTTTCTAACAGCGAGATAGTCTATTTATACCTTTTTTGTAGTTGTTTAAAATCATGAAGGATCAATCTGAATTTTTCTACAAAAGTTGATAATCTAATGATAATATAATTTATTATTTGTTTCAACATATATTATT